GATGGAGACACGTCTTTCACATGCTAGTTTAGTGCTACTTTAAGTGGAGTGCTATGGCTGCTTCTTAGCTACGTAGCTTCTTATGTAGTGAACATGTATTGCGCCGCACACTGCTAAATTAGAGCTACGTAAGGGCCGGCAATTGTCAATGTGGGGTGAGGTTGTGGGTGACAGACATTGTGGTAGGCAGAATGCTCAGTTCTGCTGACAGGGTGGGGCACCCTCCTTGGATAACGGTAGGGGAAACACTGACTGTAAATGTATCATCATGGGAACAAGCCTCTGATACATAAAGTGTGTTAAGGATGCTGGGGATTGTATTGAGAACATGAAAATAAGAAACAAACGCCTGTTTAGTAAGTCCTGAAAGCCTTGCAGCATCATGACTGCCTTCTACATTTGCTGCAGTCCATTCACATTTTAACATGGCATATATAGAGAATAGCAGGGTCACCATCCAGAGTGTAGGGGTAGAAATGACAACAGACTGATTTGATTGTTTTCAGGAACAAACACAGGCCGTTAAATCAGATTCTAATGTTAAGATGATGAGCTGCACATAAATCTAAAAGCTTTCAACTTGATCTACTCACAAAACGAGACGAGTTGTCATTTTTCACAGTCTTTGCGTTCCCAAAGGACTCAAGAATGGGGTTGGCTTGTAAAAGCTGGCGTTCCAATTCACCCTTTAATACAAGCACACAAGATACGCACAAGTAGTGTTGTAAGGATGGTTAGGTTAACAAGGAAAAAAAAACAACTGGAATAAAACATGCAAATGCAGCAGATGTCAATAGTAGCAAATATGTTTGTGCAGCCAATTTCACAGACTTTATTCCCGTGTAGTGAAGTCAGCAATGACAGAAATTTGCAAATAGCTGACAAAAAAAGGACTGAAAAAAAATGCAGCCTTTAAAAATACAAAAAAGAACAATGTTTGAAAATAGTGAACTGGCTAAAAGTTTTATTTGTAATTAAAAAAACAGAAATTAGTGCAACATACTGTTTTCCTTTTTGGTAAATTATGTATTTAATTTTTTTCCAGTTTTCCGATGTGTTAATAAGCCAACTTGTTGTTAAAGGTAACCCAGAGTATAGTTACATTCTTAACAGTAAGGAAGTGCATATTTAAACTAATTCAAAGCAAATAAACAAAAAACTATTGTGCAAAAGGGTGTAAGCAAAATCAAAAAGACAATTTGTCTTCAGCAAAATAATGTGTGTTCAACAAATTGTAAAAAAAAAAAAAAAAAGACATCCACTGTATTAAATACTTTTGTTAGAGGATTACTCTGCATACAAAGTATTTAAAGCAGCTGGATAAATAATAGATCTATGAAGATATATTGACAGGTGTTTCCATTTTGTTTTCAACTAAACCTAATTGTGAGCTCTGTCATGATGAGAGAATTCAAAATTATTGAAAGGAAAACACTTTTTAGTCTGCTCGCTTATTTCACTTCTTGTGGTGAAGAAAGCTGTTCTCCCATTACGACAGAAGCAGCTTTACATGCCAAAGGTTTGAGTAAGACATTTTCCACAAAACGGATCTGAGGAATCAGCAATTTATTCAGGATGTGAGACGCTTAAAGCAGCATTTGGCTAATGAGCGAGACGAGCTGCATTATGTAGAATTTTGAGTAGCTGGAATGAAGCAGCGCTCCATCTGAGCTGCTCGACAGATGATTCAGACCTGAGGCATTTGTTTTAATATTAAAAGATTAGTGATGCAAGTTCATTGTAAATTCTCTTACTAATAAGTTCTACTTATCTGTTTGGTGTCCCTCTTTACCATGAAGAAAATGCTAGTTATCTCCATTTTTTCTTCTTCTTTCAGCTGCTCTCTTTTTCAGGGGTCGCCACAGAGAACTAACTAGCACAAAGACTTGACAATTGTTTTTACGCTAGATGTCCTTCCTGACACAACCACAAACCACCGAGCTACCGCAGCCCTCTGTGTGGAGCAGAGCTGATATCTAGGGCACCCGGGGGAGCAGATGGTGGGGGTTAAGGGCCTTGCTCAAGGGCCCAGAGTGGGACAAATGACGGTGGGGACAGGTGTGGGTGTTTTTCTTTTCCCACCCACATTTTGATGTTGTCGGTCCGGGGAGTTGAACTGGCAGCCTTCCAATCACAGGTCCACCTTCTCTAACCTCTGCACCACCACTCCTTCTCCATTAAAATGTGTATTTTCTTACTAAACTGTTGCATGTTGGTCTCTTTTCAAAGGCGTGACTGTTTGAAGAGTTGCTGCAAGGACTTGGGATCAGATTTAGTGAAGTCAAACGGATACGCCACAGCTGTCTCAGTAAATCCAGCCCAGTTGTGTTTGTGTTTGCACGGCTCAACATCTGCTTTGGAGGCCGTAGCCAAATATTCCAAGTTGGCTGTTTTTTTTTTTTTTTTCTGGGGGAGGGGGTTGCAAAGCATAAAAAATAAGAACACTGAGCAAGAACCAGAGCACATGGAAAACTCATCTGGCCCAGACTCTTGGGCAAACAGACTGAAGAAAAGTCTGTAAATACTTCCAAGTTAAACGATTAAGATGAGGCGGCAAGAAAATCAGATCCAATCAATGCATGATAAAAACCTACAGCCATTTTCTGTACTGAAAAGTCCACAAGATGCTACAAAATTTATTAACTAAATTAGGCAGCACATTTATTTTTAGTGACAAGACAAGCTACTTCATAATATTAGCAGTTTTCAGCAAATGGTTACGTTACCACTGGATTTATTTCCATTAACTTTGTTGGTAAAACTACCAAAAAGCTATTTTACTAATTGTCTAGTGGATGTGCCACCTGTTTGTAAGTATTTTTCACATTTAAACATGATAGGAGCGTTTTATCTCTGACAAAACAATTTTTGAGATTTGAGAAACATTAAGTGAGGAGTTTTTGTCACTTGAAATGCTTTCTACTCAAATAATCTAAATCATCCCTTCCTCTTAAAGTCAAAAGGGTGTATAAATAAACGTTGGAAAATCAGTTTTTCATCAAATGAAACTCAGATCACACAATTTTATTTTATCTATGATCAATTTGGCTTAACCACTGAAAAAACATTCATATAATTAATATTAGAACCCAACCGATATATCGGTAGGGGACGATATTTTAGGCTGATATAGGATTTTGTGGACCTATCAGTATTGGTGATAATTGTCCCATTATTTGCCAATATAAACACTTCTAATTTTCACCCCTAAAATGCTGGAAACAAGCCATAATTGTACAATGTATTCAGCAGAGGGCGTGCAAAGACTACTTTCTATTCATGGCCGTTCACTTAAGTTTCACTTTCATCACAGCCGAAGCAGCGAGCAATACTGTGTAGTGTATTTTGCTGAACAGAGTAAGTTTATTTAACTGATCTGTAAAATAAATCAACAATAATAAATTATCTTCAATCCTCCAACTTGTTTGTCATTAGCTACATGCCTCTCAAGTTAGCAAGCTAACGTTTAGATAACCTAGCATAGGTTATTGCCTTGTAAAACTTTATCTAGAACAATAAATCTAACGTAGAGGTAAAATAGATCAGAGTTAGTAACGTTCTCTTTGTCGTCCTCAATGAAATGTATCGTTTGTCTGAAATCTTTACTTCTTAACAAAGAAAAAGAAACTCTGATGTGGTCGGTACTAACTAGACCTTCACCATACATGGCTGTCTGTTTAAACAATGAACAGTGAAGGCATTTCTTTGTTTAAGTTATATTTTTGTAACATACTTGAGAACTTTAAGGTGAATAGTGGAGGATAGACATTGTGAACGCACATTAGGAAAACTGTTTTTATGTCCAGTGCACCACTTATAAACCTACTGAGGGTTTAGGTATAACGTGAATCTGATTTGTTTAGTTTCATGGTTGCTAACAGTCACGCTAAATAAACAAGTACCACTCCACTTGTTGTTTACTTAGATTCTTGGGGGTGGACAAAGCTAAAAAAATATTCTGCCATTATATCGGTTACCAGCGCTCTCCTTCTGCTCCCAATATGGTAATCACCAAATTTCCATATCAGTCGAGCTCTAATTAATATTCTACATGATTACTACATCGTGATCAGCACAGAAAATTAATCACAACTGTAAAATAATACTTTCCCAAAAGGAGAAAAAAAAACTAGCAATGTGTTAAAAGAGCATGACATAAGACTACAAGATAAAACTTAGAACACCAAGAAAAAAAATATTATGCATGCAGAAGTAAAACCAGCTGTGATAATCTTTTTAAAAAATCCCAAAAGATACTTTACTTAGATATTTAGTCTTTAATAGTTGTCATACTTCACCTCATATATTTTGAGATGTAAAATGCAAATGTTAGGAAGAAAAAAGGCCTTTAATTAAATCAGAGGGGAAATAAATATAGATCATGCAAGGCAAACGTTCCAGCCACAGCAGGTGAATAAAGGTCACAGGGAGAGAAAGCTCCCACTCTCAAACTTAAGAAACGTGGAAGAGTGGACAGTGAGGCAGTTTATCTGTCAGGAGGCACCAAAGTGAGCAAAGCACTTTGTGTATCTGCTAAGTGAGCTGGGATGGTTAAAAAACTACAAACTACTCACATAAAGCAGGGCTCCACTCTGTAGGACATGAGGAAATTCAGTTGTTAAATAAATAATGTACAAAGATAATGAACTGCATTTACGTTACGGATACCAACAGGAAATGTTTGAAATAACTGAGTCACGTGAATGCATCTATATGGTGTATTTCTAAATTAAGAAACAGACATCTTAGTTTGATGATCATTTAGTGTCTGAGGCTCAAAGCATAGAAAACCAAATCCAAGAAAACCTACCGGTAACTACAACACTCTGGATGTATTTGTTCATCACATACTTGTTTGTGTTTGATTGTGAACCATGTTTTTTTTTACAACAGTCCAAAATTGATTTATAATATAATAATACCAGGTATGTATGTAGCTGTAATTAACACTTTGACAACAGCAGTAAAAACACTGAAGCAACACAAGATGACAGACAAAGCTGACCATGTGGCTACCAAAACAAAAACATAATCCACATGCAATGTTGTTTCATTACAGACAAAACTGAAGCAAATATACATAAAGCATAGCTGAGGGAAAACAAACTACAGTAACTAAAACACAAATGTAATCATGCCACTTTTAACATACAACTGCATTTTGTGCCTGACAGACAGTAGTTTCTAATGAAGTTTTAGATTTAACTACAATTTTAAGTAAAAGTGCAATCAGTGACACCATTTGATGATGTCATCCATAGGAAAGAGATGCTTCAGTTTTAGAGAAAATCATTTAATTTGAAAGGAAGATGTTAGTGTAGCATGCATATAAACGTGGTGCGTAAGAAAACACAGTAACTTGCCTGTAGCTTCACTGGTTTGGGTGATTCGGGCTGTTTGTTACAGATAAACAAATGTAAATTGTTAGATTGGACATATAATTACGCATCACACCTACTCTCAATAACAAATCTTTCCTTTTACAGTTTGTAAAGAAAAGCAGTCTAAAAATTCCCATTTTAGCCAAACAACTCACAGTGATAACAGTGTTGCTCCTGCACTACACTCACACACTGCATTTATATCCAGAGGTTTACACTAACCTTTATCATGCAGCTCAGTCAGTAAAGTAGGAATAATACAACTAAAGCTATCTGATGCTAAATGTGATGTTTACTTGAATACTCACAGGAATGTTGTGGTCTCTTCTTCCTTTGTGAGAGGACGCAACATGCGCCAGGTACTGGATGACCTTTTTAGTGTTTTCTGTCTTACCAGCTCCTGACTCGCCTCTGCAAGACAAAAAAAAAAAAAAGACAGCTGACACAAAAACAGACACCCCAGGAAGCAGCCAGACACATGAACAGCTTAGCCATCAGAGGACCATAAACGACCACATGAGTAAATCATTGCAGGTTTGCACATTTCCAGGTGCTCAGCACTGAGCTCATGGTAAATTAGTTTGACTGAACGTGATTCAACTGTCCTCCCTTTTACTGCACAGGCTAAAATGTGATCAACACTTACTGGTGCACATATTACAGCCCAGTTTCTTAGCATTTTATTTTCCATATGTTGGAACAAGTTTGCAGCTGTGGTTCCTGGCTTGCTGCTATCTCATACAGTCACTATGGCATTGTAAAACAGGAGAGAAAACATTTCCATGGCCTTAAGTCTTGCAAAAACTTGGTGACAGCAGTTGAGATTTAGAGAATGTCTGAGGTTTTACAGAGAGTGCAAATTTGCACACATGAAATATGCGTTAGATATTGTTTTGCTTTTTGACTGGGCTAGTGTGACGTGGCTGAGAATAGATATGGGAGTTAATATGTGATTTAAATCTTTTTAGCTGCTGTGAACAGAGAATAATCAAAGACTATATAGTTAAGCTCCCACACAGCCTTACAACGCGTGATCAGGTTTCTGTGTGGACTGCATCAAGTTAAGCTAAATGTTACCTGGACCACCTTCCTGCGCAGCGTCAGTAAAATTAGAAATTTGTTGTCCCAAAATAATGCAGAAAATCAGGTTCATGAATTTACCACTTCTAAGCTGCACAATTGCATTTATTTTATAATTATTACTATGTATGTATTGTCTAATCAACATACCTGTCCCAAACATCTGCATGGAGGCATCACAGTATGAACAAATGTTCTGTTAGTGTCAGTTTACAAACTGACATAAAAACTTTATTGTTCCTGCTGCCTAACAAAATGACACGTCTTTTTGTGTCTACATTCCTGTCATCTGTGGAGACATATTGCTTGAATAACACCAGAGCACTGTCTCACAGAAATGTCAGACATTTCTCAGACATATTTGAAGTGGTGACAATCCAATCACTGTCACTCACTTAAAAAGAGCTGTCAAGACTCCCAGGGGACTGGTCTACATGTATGAGTTCACATTCATGAACTTGAGTCAAAGGTAATAAATTTATCAGTGTCCCATTCAAAGTAATTCACATTGAACACATAAACAATGAACTGTTATGACAGTGCATGAGTTTAAATTTAATTTTAAAAAGATGGTTTACTCACGTGCAGAGAATGGATTGGTCCTCTCGATCTGTGGGAAGCAAGAAGGAGAAAAAAGGGTTAACTATGCTATTAACAATACATTTATAAATTTAAATATGGTCCCAATTAAAAAAAAAATTAAAAGATAACCTTTATTTGAACATTAAAAACATAAATATCAAAGCATTGTTGTTTTGGCTAATTCATTCTCAATCTAAAAAGCGTTGATAACAAGACACAGATAGCATAAAGTTTAGTTTATCTATCAGGAAGCATTGTGTCAAGTTTGAACACTACATTAAAGCAGGTCTGGAAGTATTTTTTTTACTTCTGATGACTAGTGAACAGAGTAATATACATTACACACAGTTAAAAGAAGTGCACCACATGTCTATGTTACACAAGTCAGATAGTTCATGTCATATAAACATGATACAGAAGACACATTTTTTTGTTCTGTCTAAAAATATTGTTTAGTGCTGAGATTGATTTGTGAAAACATAGCAACAATATTTTTTCTAGTTTAGATTATCTGATGAACTCAGTGTGACAAAAGTGACACTGTTAAGGAAAAACTAAGCGCAAGAATATATAAAGAAAACAGTATTTTATCATGTCATCAGTGTCTCTGCAGGGATGGTGCATGCAGATCAGTTACGTTGTTAGCGAACTTACACAACCTAATAAAACATGTCTGAATCACAGCAAGTTTGTTAAACCTCCTTCAGAACAAAGCTACTCCTACTACTTAAATTATTTATTTCCTGCCAAAACACTGTCCTGCTCTAGGATGCAACAATGGCATTGTCACATCAGTAGTTTTAGGTCATAAATGGTAAATGGACTGTATTTATATAGCACTTTTCTATCTTATCAAGATACTCAAAGCTCTTTACAACACAATCTGTGCCCTCATCTACCCATTCATACAGCACTCTAAAGAATAATCAGTGCTTTATCACATTCATACACCGATGGGACACATATCAGAGACAATGAGGGGTTCAGTGTCTTGCGCAGGGACATTTCAGCATGTGACTGTTGGTAGAATCGACCCACCATCTCTGCCACTGAAGAACGACGGCTCTAACCACTCAGCCACAGCTGCCCCTATATATCATAACCTAGGCATTAGGCCAATGTGGCAAGTCCTACTTCAAATTTTCAATGACTAAGTTGCTCATTGTCATGGATATGCTGCTACCACACTCGCCAAAGCTTCATCCAGGATTTCACTACACTGCCAACAAAATGTTAAACCACCATGAACTTGCTATAGAAAGTTTTTCCACATGTAAAATTATTGCAGACCTATCACACTCTATTGCACTTGACTAAAAGCCCACTGAATTCGGAAGACCTTGCCAAAACACTGCAAGGAAGACCATTCTTCAGTGAAGGAGAGAAAATACAAGGCTAGCAAGTATTAACATTAATAGTTATTGGGGGGGGGGGGGGGTAAGTGAACTCTAACAGCAAATTCACATATGCTGTCCTGAATTTAAACTTTAATTAAAATGTACAAAAAGTAAAATAATCTAGAAGCGTATTACAAAATAAAATTCTTCCTTCTTCTTTAGGCTTTTCCCTCTTCATGGTCTCCACAGCGAGTCATCCTCCTCCATCTCTGTCCTCTGCATCCTCTGTCCTCACTCCAACTACCTCCATATCTTCATCAAGGTTCGTGTTCAATAATCCAGGTAAAAAGCCAACAAAGTTAAGTCAGGTCCTGTGGACGGTTTCTTTTTGTTGAAACATTTTGTCTTTCATCCAAATGACCACTGACCCGAGCTTTGGACCTGCGCAAGAGATATACTGGCTTGTGCTCCCTGGTGGCTGGTTTATTATAAAATGAAATTAAACTTGAAATTTTCCTTAAATACCAGTAGTGAAAAGAAAATGTACCAATATGCAGCAGTGTTTCCCCTACCATTATACAGGTGGGGTGCCCCACCCCGTCAACAGAACTGAGCACCCCACCTACCAAACTGAACTTGCCCCTCCCACCCCCACCCAGCACTGACATATCAAGGTAGCGGCGTAAACTACAGGCTCTCTTGTCAAAATGCCCACGGCAGCACTCACAATGCCTCTTCCCTCATGGAACGCCGCCCGCCCCCGCTCAAAAACTGTTAGTACAAGCTGCGATCAGACATGTCTCTGTCCCCCCCATCAGCAAAAATCATAAATGAGATGAGCACCCCGTCATGACAAGCTAACTAGGGGAAACACTGTGCAGAGTCTCTTTCTTTTTAAACAGAAATTTAAAACTTGTTAAGGTAGACTTTTTGACCTTTTAGGACTGACCAGTTAAGGGTTATCAATTGTTTAACTTAAAGTCTTCATGTTGCTAAGGTAGTAACTTCTGACTGGTGACTGGAAAAACATCTAAAAACAAACAAACAAAACAGAATACACTAGAGGAATCTTTGACATTTGTGAGTGGAGTAAATCATGTGAGTATTTTTCTAGTGAAGACAAGGACACATTTGTAATTTACTGTAACGTTTTCATGTGATTTAGAGGATGCATGACACCAGTTATAAAAAGTCTTTAAAAAACACTTCTAGACTGGAAGCCAGAGGTCAACCTTGTAAATAATCTGGCAGTGGGGAAATGATTACATTTCACAAGGTCTAGTAAGTAAGTTTCTTTCAGCTGCTCCCTTCTTCAGGGGTCACTACAGCGAGCAAACTTGCATGAAAGATTTGGCTATTTGTTTTACGTCAGATGCTGCAACCTGGGCTCGAGCATCCATCCATCCATCCATCCATCCATCCATCCATCCATCCATCCATTATCTTTACCCACTTATTCCATTTTGGGTCACGGGGGTCACTGGTGCCCATGTCCAGCAATCACTGTGCGAGGGGCGGGGTACACCCTGGACAGGTCGCAAGTCCATCACAGGGCCACATAGAAACATACGAGACAAACAACCATTCGCTCTCTCACTCACACCTAGGGACAATTTAGAGTTACCAATCAATGTAACATGCATGCTTTTGGTCTGTGGGAGGAAACCGGAGTACCCGGAGAAAACCCACGCATGCACGAAGAGAACATGCAAACTCCACCCAGAAAGGCCCCTGGACCAGGGTTTGAACCAAGGACCTGCTTGCTGAGAGGCAGCAGCTCTACCAGTTGTGCCACCGTGCTGCCCCTGGGTTGGTTAATCAGCCTTTAATTGTTCTGGGCTGTGGCTTTTTCAGCC